AGGTATGTCAGCATCGGATACAACAAGATTTTTTATTATTGTTTTGATACAGTTGTACAGTGGAACAATAACAGGACAATCAATAAATATATGACGCAAGGAGTCGTTGTCCCCGCAAAGTGGGCACGTGTTCGATTGCGAAAATTTGTCATGAACCATAAATCTGCCAGTAGTGTAGGCACCATGTATAATGCGCCATTGTTAGTCCCCTTCTAACTTAGTAACCGGGGAGGCATAGCAAGCTTTGAAGTTCGGTTTATCTTCATCCGAGAGATTCAAGATTTCCCGCTGCACTGTGTCACATTTATCCGGATGCCGTTTAATATGAAGCAATATACTCATGTATTTATACACTGTTCTTTTTAATAGTAATAGTAGTCAATTCGTTGAAATCGGGTCAAATGATATCCACGCATCATCATTGCATGCACGGATTGCAGCTTTCTGCCAAGGCTGTCCCAAACAATCCCTGATGTTGTAGGGTCGCTGCGTTTTTTTCGAAATAAAATGTATGTCTTTGTATTCATAATGATCAAAAACAAAACCCTGAAAGGTGTGACTCTCTGCCGCGTTCAATGAGCTGCACCGCAAGTGGCAGCAGGAGATACAGCTACACTTTTATATCGCCCAACAAATCTTTGAGCGAAACGAAACCCATCAGGTAACTGAGAATGTACCAATCGGTATTGACTAGCCAAATGCAAACGCTCGCATCTATGTGTCGCCTGAAACCAGCGAAGTGAGTAAAGAAATGCCCTCTTGCGATGACCACAAATAAGTTAACGTTCTGTTAGTTGAGGGCGCATCACATAACATTTCACTGGTCTGGAGTGCTACCGTGATATTTAGATGGTCTGCAATTTTTTTTTTTTACCATTTGTCACGGTGGCCGTATAATAATAAAAAAACGAAGACGTGTCGGTCAAATAACCGCCCAGTCATCGTGAACTTAGGATGAGGGAGGATGTTGAGATTGGATGGGGGAATGATGTAGCTTAAATCGAATATTAGGAGGTGCCCCTTTATATGACCACGGATATTTCGGATTAGTTTGAAAAATCAACGATTCGTGTGTTGCTATATTAATGGACTCACTCATTCTATAATCACTGAGATGGAGTGGCGCGCTTCAAACACGGAAGGGACTGAAATGGGATTGAAATGCAAGAAACGACATTGCGACATGTACGCCAATGTTGAAAATGAAGGGTTTTGTTCATATTGTTATCGTCAAATTTTGAAAATCAACGAGAAACGACGTGCCCGTAAATATTTCAAGTGTACGACCGACGGTTGAGAAAGGATTGGTTTTAAGTTATTAGGTGGACGATGTGCGGCGTAATATCGTGACACCAAAGTGATAAACAGGCAACAGGTAACAGATGATTACATACATTTTTTGGAAACCCAGATTTCAACGTACAAAGTTGAACTGAAAAAGAGAAGATTGAACGTCAGAGGTTAACTGACGCAATTTCTAAATTTCATCGGAAAAAAAGGGGACAGTCGCCGTCCGCTACAACCACATCTCTGTGATTTCACTCATTCAAAATACAACATACGATACAATTAGAATCATTTGTTATCTTTAATAAAACAAACATTATATAAGTGCGATCAATGAAAAACATATTAATTGTATAACAATAACGTAAGTAAATATATATAATATAAAAAAACATTGTGCCCGTGAGGGCGCTGTCACTGTCATTTTTTTTAACTTGAAATAAAGGATAAATCATAATAATTCGTGATTCAGTCATTTTACTTCATCGGTACGTTCCATTAAATTAATCATTTGATTTCCCCCATTGATACAAAACTCGTCGAGATCATATTCTGCCACCTAGAGAACAAAAAATAAATAAATAAATTAGTTAGATAGTTAGTTAGTAGCTGATAAATTAATTAGAAAAACGTGACTTTTACAGTCGTATTCGTTAAACAGTTCGAGGGCTTCTTTACACGTCATCGATGCGGAAAACTCGCTTAGATCAGCGTTAAATTGTTTAGCTCTATATTCAAGTTTGCGGATGATTTCCAAATCTTCACTTCCTACAGTTAACGCTTCGCTGAGGACGGAGATCAGCGTGAATGAGAAAATTTCGACCGATTTAACGGTGAGCGAGCTCATGGAAAATTTACGGACAATCACGTAGACTGGCGTCAGATCTCCGTCCCTCTTACGAATTGCGTCGGCAATCGATCTTCAAAGAGGTTCAAATGATGACTCAGCGGTTTCCAAGGCATCTATACCCTTAGTTATTCCAGGCATTTTTTCAGGCGTTGTGCTTTGTTCGATTATTAAATTAAGCATATGTATCATTAGAGTCATATGAGTTTGCTTGAAATCTACCAAATTCTTTTCCGACGCTTTTTTAGTGGATTTATCCATTATGTCGTTGATCCGTTGAATCTGAATTTGCGTCAATAAAGGTCGGGAGAACGCGTACAAATCCAGTTTATTACAATCGCCCAGACCTTTAATTTGGTACAGAGAATATGCTGAGAGACCGTGCGAAAGCGAATTGAAATTCCCCCTTTGCTTAGATATGCGACCACTTTCGTCTGTAGTAATCATGGAATGTTTACTAACGCCCATCGTAACCGCGTACTTAATATCTTGAAGACGTCTCGATGAGAGTTCTCGGATATCCTCGAAGTGCACTTTACCCAGGTATTCTCCAGGTATTTAACTTACCGGGCTCTTTCGCATGACATGGCCGGGCTATTTCATTTCCACTAGTGAATGCGAGCGGTTCCCTGCCGTTCTTATCCCTCGTGAATATGTGATTGTTATACCCGATTCGAATAGGTATGGTAAATACTATATTTTGATGAGCTGTCACAATCGTGTTGTATTGGTTACCAAAATTTATTGAATCTTATCCGTATTGAAGAAACGTCTCGGCTGCTGCGTATCATGCCGGATCAGGGAGGTCGGGAGAGGCGGTGTGTACCACGGAGATACAGGGAGTGGTTGTGATGGTGCAGGGAGGTCGGGAGAGGCGGGGCGGGGAGGTCGGGAGAGGAGGTACAGTCAGGTCGGAGCGGCAGCACAGGAAGGTCGGGAGAGGTGGTGTGCTCCAAGGAGATACAGGAAGTAGGTGTGGCGGTGCAGGGAGGTCGGGAGAGGCGGTGTGCACAATGGAGATACAGGGAGTGGATGTGGTGATGTTGGGAGGTCGGAGAGGAGGTGAGAGGTCAGGAGAGGCAGAGCAGGTAGGTCGGAAGAGACGGAGAAGGGAGGTCGGGAGAGGTGGTGCAGAAAGGTTGGAGCAGAGGCGGAGAAAGGTCGGGAGAGGCGGTTCAGGGAGGTCGGGTGTGGTGGTGCAGACAGGTCGGGAGAGAGGCGGTGTGCACCAAGCAGATACAGGAAGTGGGTGTGGTGGCGCAGAGAGGTCGGGATAGGCGGTGCAGAAAGGTCAGGAGAGACGGTGTGCACCACGGAAATACAGGGAATGGGTGTGGAGGTGCAGGGAGGTCAGGAGAGGCGGTGCGAGGAGGTCGGGAGAGACAGAGAAGGGAGGTCGGGAGAGGTGGTGCAGAAAGGTTGGAGCAGAGGCGGAGAAAGGTCGGGAGAGGCGGTTCAGGGAGGTTGGGTGTGGTGGTGCAGACAGGTCGGGAGAGGCGGTGTGCACCAAGCAGATACAGGAAGTGGGTGTGGTGGCACAGAGAGGTCGGGATAGGCGGTGCAGAAAGGTCAGGAGAGACGGTGTGCACCACGGAAATACAGGGAATGGGTGTGGAGGTGCAGGGAGGTCGGGAGAGGTGGAGCAGGGAGGTCGGGAGAGACGGAGCAGAGAGGTAGGGAGAGGTGGTACAGAGAGGTCGGGAGATACAGGGAGTGGGAGTGGCGGTGGAGCAAGGTCGGGTGAGGCGGTGCAGGGAGTGGGTGTGGTGGTGCAGGGAGGTCGGGAGAGGCGGAGCAGGAATGTCAGGAGAGATGGAACAGGGAGGCCGGGAGAGGTGGTGCAGAGAGGTCGGAGCGGCGTAGGAGCAAGGTCGAGAGAGGCTGTGCAGGGAGGCTGAGTGTGGCAGTGTGCACAACGGAGATACAGGGAGTGGATGTGGCGGTGTTGGGAGGTCGGAGAGGAGGTGCGCACCACGGAGATGCAGGGAGTGGGTGTGGTGGTGCATAGAGGTCGGGAGAGGCAGAGCAGGAAGCTCGGGAGAGGTGGTGCAGAGACGTTGCAGCGACGGCAGAGCAAGGTCGTGAGAGGCTGTGCAGGGAGGTTGGGTGTGGCAGTGTGCAGAACAGAGACACAGAGAGTGGATGTGGCAGTGTTGGGAGGTCAGGATAGGAGGTGCAGGGAAGTCGGGAGAGGTGGTGCAAGGAGGTCGGGAGAGGCGCTGAGTACCACAGAGATACAGGAAGTTGGTGTGGCGGTGCAGTGATATTGGGAGAGGTGGTGCAGGGAGGTCGGGAGAGGCGGAGCAGGAAGGTCGGGAGAGAGGGAGCAGGGAGGTCGGGAGAGGTGGTGCAGAAAGGTTGGAGCGGCGGCGGAGAAAGGTCGGGAGAGGCAGTTCAGGGAGGTTGGGTGTGGTGGTGCAGACATGTCGGGAGAGGTGGTGTGCACCACGGAGATACAGGGAGTCTGTGTGGCAGTGCATGGAGGTCCGGAGAGGCGGTGCAGAGAGGTCGGAGCGGCAGCGCAGAAAGGTCAGGAGCACCAAGGAGAGTAGGTGTGGCGGTGCAGGGAGGTCGAGAGAGGCAATGCTGGGAGGTCGGGAGAGATGGCACAGGAAGGTCGGGAGAGACAGAGCAGGGAGGTCGGGAAAAGTGGTGCAGAAAGGTTGGAGCAGCGGCGGAGAAAGGTCGAGAGAGGCGGTTCAGGGAGGTTGGGTGTGTTGGTGCAGACAGGTCGGGAGAGGCGGTGTGCATCAAGGAGATACAGGGAGTGGGTGTGGCGGTGCAGAGAGGTCGAAATAGGCGGTGCAGAAAGGTCGGGAGAGACGGTGTGTACCACGGAGTTACAGGGAATGGGTGTGGCGGTACAGGGAAGTCAGGAGAGATGGAGCAGGGAGATCGGGAGAGAT